CTTGTTGGCAGCTGGCCAAATCGGGCCAAACGATGACTTTGCCCCTATGTTTGCAGATGAATGGCAATACACGCTTTTTCAGATGTAAACTTGGGATGTCATCGTCGAGGATGTGACGAATGGTTCCATTTTCAGGCCACAATTGCAAATCGCTTGCCAAATCATGGCCTTTTTCGCGAACTTGTCGGCAAACACGAACTTGAATATTCCCGGCATATTTCCACTTCTAATCGCAATGCAAAACTTTTGACCGGGAACCTGATGGAAATCGAGTTTGACGTATGTTTCGTCATCGATCAAAGTGCAGCCTTTGTGTTTCATCAAAACACGGTCGTACAAGAGCCTTGCACGCTTTTTGGCCACGGAAGTCCGAATTCCGGCACCGTTTGAAAGTTGGCGTTGTACCTTCTGGCCACATCTCAGATCGAAAGACCGGGGTTGGCATTAACGCACCTCAACACCTTGCTGCGCAGCTGATGATCTCTGGTTCCAGTTTTTTCGTAGGTCCACTGATTCCTTTCCACACTCAAGATTTCCTTTTAGGTTTTGAGCACTCAAAAAACTGTTGTTTTCAGCATATTCAGCATTTTCAGCACTTCAGCCAGCTTGGAACCGGACCACTCCGAATTTCCAGGTGTTTGTGCACAATATTTTTTCTTCTTTCGAGTTCCATTTGACGTTATTTCTGAACGCGATCGACTACTTTAATCAAACTTGCGCCAGTTGTTTTCTATAGAATTGTAAACAAACCACTATCAAAGATTTTCGATTCCCAATACAAGAGGCGTGCTAGTGGCACGCAAGGGGCGTACACATGTACCACAAAATGCGACAAGGAGAAGAGAATTCAATCTTTTACTCTTCAGTTTGATATGATGGGATTGTACAGTGAGTTCTATAATCGTTTATATTTATCTATATGTAACAAACTGGCTTCATAGAATTTGAAATGCCTTCAAAATGAAGTCATCCCAAGTAACAATGTTGGTGTTATGAGAGTTGTGTAGACCATGCTTTAGGCTTGTAGAATGCTAAGAAATCCCTATGAAGCTTGCAATGTAACTTACGATTTCTTGAAACCTGGCCTCCCTGCCCTTCGCATCCATCAACTACAGGACCTGGGTTGAGGAGTTTAGGATCGATCAAAGATCATTCTACGGTGCATTCGTCTTCTGCTTTGACTTTATTACGTCTCTAATGAGGCTTTACGTTGGCCCTCAACTTAGTGTCCGAGATGCACTTCCACCACAGTTGTTAATTGAGAGCTTTCTAAGCCTATCTCATTTGTGCGTTAGCAATAATTGTGTGGCAAGTACAATCATATTCAATGTCCAGCAGAGTTGGGACCTATCACAATCACGATCGTCAAACAGCTGATGGTAGTAACGCTTGGTACATTCCTATCAATGTGCTTGCGAAAGCACTAATCAAATTTGTATGGTTATTTTGCTTAACGACGTTTTTAGGGTATCATCCGAACCATTTCTGGAATAGTTCTATCATTTCGGTTATCATTCGGTTATCGTTTTTTTCTTGCCGTAAGACTACGTCTGTGATTTCTATATGGGACACACTTTGCGCAAACCAAAAATAGAACATGTAACGAAATTATGAAAGATTTTGAATGTTAGTACGTCAGCTGCCCCTGGACCAATTTCAATAATTTTATCACCAATCAATCAGCAATATTTTTACGCACCGATAGTTTCTGACTGTTGATTTTTTGGCAATAAACTATTGAAAAAAATGGTAAATAACAAGCATTGTCTAAAAGCATCGAAATAACTAACAATAACGTACATGCATATGCTGCTTCCCTAACACTGTCATCAGAGAGTCGTTAGTAGAAGAAACAAGTCGAAGTGGCATTCGCTTCCGATTTTCGGGCGTGTGCAAATAGGGATGATGCAATTGCGTAACATTTTGTACACTCATCGCGATATTCAGAACCACACGCTCCAACGACCACACAAAATGCTCTCCAGAGTTGTACTCTTGTAACCAAACTTGGAATCAGGGGAGCAAGGGATTTTGATCAACTCTCTTCATCAACTTCTGTTTCTCGACGGCAAACACATTCATTAATACGATTGATGTTCTGGATGATAGAAGAGCATAGCAGAAATAGTTCGAAATAGGTTAGTGAAGTCATGGTCATCATAAGAGGAAATCGATGAAGAGAATTGACTTTCACCCCCTCTTCTTCTAAGCCCCTAAATTCAGTCGTCGGAATGGAAATTAGCATCGCACCGCTTTTGGTTCTTGGGTTACACTTGCTGGTTGCTGTTTGACATTTTCGAAGGACCACAAAAAAAGTGAAATTACACTGATTTCTACGGATGCCTAAAAGGTCAATTATTCGATTAACGATTAATCGTAAAGGTTTTTCCTGCTATTCAATTAAATATCTTCGAATTTTCTATTATTCGAGCGCGTAACCGACATCCCTTCTTATTTCTACTCGTTTGATTTAGCGCAGTAGAGAAAATAAATAAAAGTATTACGTGAAACAGGATCATAAATTCGCCGAAAAAAGTGTTGAACGTCTTTCTGCTAAAGGCTAAGATTTATTAACTTGTTGAGAGAAGAAGTTTAACGAGAAAAACCGAAAAGGGGACTAGCTTTATCTGGGTGGACACTGATATTCTGTGGCCTCCCAACCTGCCGCAAACACCAGTGCAGCCTCTGTCAAATAGCAGACGGGCCGAGACTCTTGTCTAGTCTGATTTGCTGATTCAGCTGCCTACACGTCATCTTCCAAAGGCTTTAAGCCTGTTCTAACATCGGCCCTTTTCAGAAGCACCAATATTTTCTAAAAGTGTTAAATTTCTGAACATGTCCCAACTAATATTCATATCAAAAGGTTCTTTTCAGGGCAATCATAGTTATACTAAAGAGCATAAACAGAGAGAACTCCGCTCAAATTCCTATTCCTACACAAAACAAAAGCTCCTGCTGCACTTAACAAATTACATTTATTATATGAGACCACGCAGTCCTACGTCAGCATTGCGTACAACCCCATAGGGCTGTCGCTAGTAGTTTTTATTAGGATCTCCATGACCATCCATCAAGTTGTCGAATGAAGTAAAAAGCAATTGGTGAATGTCGTCTTCAGTGGTGATCCATCACTGATCTGGTCATTCTCGACAATCACGACACTCATATGTTATCGTTTTGAAGCAGTTGCTGCTTATGTGAGTGTGTTGATGAGTGAGCCCTTAAGCTTCCATTTAATTTTGTAACTCACACTGTCGCGCGTGCCGAGACGAACTTGGAATGCGTAAGCATTGTTTTCATTTTCTTCTGTCGTTTCGCTTTTTCTCATCATCGTACTGCAGAAGTCTTCACTGTTTTCGTTGTCCTTTACATCATCAGCAGCGAGTGTTACGTTTTGCCTGTGAGCAGGGACCATTACTGGTGATTGTTGTTTGACATGGCTCTACATCTCACTGCGTGACAAAACGTTCTGTCAGCGATAGTCGATTGATGCGTTGACGAAATTCGAGTGATTGTCATGATATTTTGCATCACTGATAGCCAGGGAAGTCGAGTTTAACCCGACAAATTCCTAGACTGTACCAGGAATCGAACCCAGCTGCATCCGGTCTTGCTTTATAGCTGCGCCGTTACCGACCGACCTGGTGAATCTCACTTGTAAAGATATCAGTAAAGTGTTTGTTCGATCAATAAATTATCCCTTTAATTCACCCCAAGCTCCTCCCCTGATCCTATCCTTTGACAATGTACCTCTTTAACCTCGAGTAAGCCGCGAGTATTCGGCCCAACTCCTACTAGACATAGAATTAAGTGAATTTTGTTACAAACAAAGAACAGTGAACTATCGGCTCCGTAAAGCCAACGTGATTGAGCCTTCCAAATAAACGAACTAGTTAAAAAAAATCCCTTTGATTTCATTTAATTTATTATCAGTTTGAATTGCTTTAATAAAAAGAACATTTCACTAAAACAAAAGTAAATTGTGCTACATAGCATCAAGTGACATTTCGAATTGTATCCGTTCCATTTTGCAAAACGTAAGCTTCCAGACTTTCAGTTAATATAAGTAAGCTAGCCGTATTCAAGTGAACATAATAATTTCCCATTTTCCATGTTCATTCAGCTTCTAGTGCAAACCGAGAAAGTAGATCAGAATCTGATTCCAACAGCCTGCGAACCAAAACACATGGCCCAATCATACGTACGCACCCTGAATCCAAGCTGGAAAATCTACATTCCCTTCACGTTCATTACGACTGCCAGCGGAACGATACATGCCAAGCAGCACCAGCAGTAACAATTGGCAACAGTTTATGATGCCTACTTTTGCGCCAGGTACCAACCTTCCTACAAAGTGTTCACGTAGGCCCAAACGACCCAAAGCCTAGAGCTCGAACTCGATGAACGCCGATAAATCCGTTCGTTTTATTACGGACGATTAGGTTACCGCGGGCATGCCCGCAAATCGTGATGGCAGGTTCCCCTGCCAAAATCGGAGTCATCGTGGTGGAAAATAGTTTTCGTTTTTATTTTTTGTTGTTGTGCCGTAGTTTATTTTCATGAAAACACACAGCCGAACCGTTCGACAGTCGCATGGCAGGTTAATTGATTCTAATGACTCGAGCAAAATTTCACCGGGCTCACCTAATTGTCCCGGTTAGGGTTGATGCTGAATTGAATTCACCGCTTGTGGTACTTGGATATTTCTGAATTTAATCCAAAAAAACATCAAACAGCCTGCAGAACGCAAAGCAGTGGCAGCTGGTTCTGATTCTCACTTCGACGACCGGGGGTGAAGGTTTCTCGGTAATTATGTGTGGCAATCACGTGATGCGAAGGTTGGAATGCGCGAATGGAATTTGAATTTTATTCGTTCTGTAGGTAAATTCCAAACCGCAATGAAATCATAAAAACTGTTGAATTATATCCTACTGCTGCCAGCCAATCTCAGCCGAATCAACTAATCTTCTGTTGTTTTGATTTCTTTGCTTTCGTTACAGAAGCTGATTACACTCTAGACGACTCGTTTTGGAATGAGGAGAGTCCAGTTGGTAAGTGGCGAATATTGAATTTATGAACTTTTTTCCAAGAGACGGGGCTATAAATAAGGGCGAATAGACTACAAGCAGTGATCGATGCCGGTTTCGGAATTTTGATGGTGATTGTTCGGGTGGGGCTCGTAAAACACGGCGGTACGACGGCACAGCAGACTGGCACGTTCCGGTGCTTGTTTTACTTCGGTACCTACCTCTCACTCGAGACAGTTTTATAACGATGCATCGGAACGTGTCCGGAATTTGAGCCAGTTCTGGTGGCCCAGCTGAAAGGTTTAGGATTCTGGGCTTGATGCCGTGGGAGAGAATCGACGAAAACGAGCCAAGTAAAAGAAGGTAGTTTGTTAGAGGGTAACGATTAGGAACGAATAGCTGGAGCAGTCCGGGCTTTTACGAGTTTGGATGGTGAGTCTAGAGCAAGTCTTTCCTTTTACGGGATAGACTTTAACTTTACTGAGGAAGTGATGAACTGATCGAAAATGGGTATTGCAGATTGCGCAGGGGAATTTCTCTTATCTCTGTGTTCCCATATTAGTTAATTGAACTGGTTGAATGGACTGCTTCATTCACGGGAAGTGAGATAAAGTTTTGTAATTTCACACTCGATTGCCAATATTGACTATACTCCATTCCAATCAATGTTTGGTTGAGGGTCCATTATCGTGCTCACAGCTTCTCAACATCAGGATATCTAAAAATGCCACGCTTTACATCAGGTACCGTGTCCTTTCTAGTGTTCATTTGATGGAATTCATTACTGGATATAGTTCCAGTATTTTGTTGTAAAATTGATCCACGGTCGCTAGCGCCGATCCAAGATTACTAGGGTAAATACTCCTAAAGGTGTGGTATGTTGGAGGTGTTTGTTCTTATAGCTGGATAGGACGTTACGCACTACGTTTCGCGAGGTCAAGAAAAGAAATGCTCTAACGCAATTATTTCGGATCAAAAATCGATTCACTTCTTGTCCGTGAAAATCGAGGGAAAGTGGAAAGGTAAGGTCTAATGCAGCATGTAAAAACGAGATGCAGACACTCGAACGAATCAACTTAAACCACTTTGTTAAGGCCTTCGGGTGTGACATATAGTAAAGGGCGAACACGAAATTATTGCGACACCGAAAATGTCATGCCAATTTTCTTATAATGTTTAGAATCAAACCAAAATTTTAGGGTAGTTTTATACATATATTTACTTCAAAAATCAAAAGAAAAGTTAATCGATGGAGCCTTGAGTGTAAAATTGAACGCATTTTCGCTTGATGCCCTCCATCAAAGTCTTTACAGTGTCATCCGGTACCAGTTTCTCAGTTTTTTTTTTTCATTTTCTTAACATGTCCTTCTCGTCTTTGACTGTCTTCTTGCTCTTCCGAAGTTCCCGCTTCATTATTGCCCAGTACTGCTCCACCGGGCGCAGCTCCGGACAGTTTGGCGGATTCATGTCCTTTGGAACAAAATGGACAGAATTGGCCTCATACCACTCCAGGACACTTTTAGAATAGTGGCATGATGCCAAATCTGGCCAAAATAGCGGAGCTTCGTCGTGCTGCTGCAAGAACGGCAAAAGGCGCTTCTCGAGGCATTCAGATTTGTAGATCTCGCCATTTACTGTGCCCTTTGTCACGAAAGGCTCACTCCTCAGTCCACAAGAGCAGATGGTCTGCCAAATGAGATATTTGGAGGTGAACTTCGACATTTTCTTCTTCTTAAATTTGTCGTCCACATCGAACTTGCTCTTGCCGGTGAAAAACTCCAACCTCGGAATTTGCTTAAAATCGGCTTTTATATACGTTTCGTCGTCCATCACACAGCAGCCATATTTTGTCAGCATCTTCTCGTAGAGCTTTCGTGCCCGAGTTTTAGCCGTCGATTGTTGCCGCTCATCGCGGTTTGGGAAGTTCTGTACCTTGTATGTATGTAGTCCAGCTCTCTTCTTTGCATTCTGGACGTAGCTCTGCGACATGCCGATCTTTTTAGCCAAATCACGGCTTGAGACGTTGGGATTTGCTTTAATCATCCGCTTCACCTTTCCCTCCGTCTTTTTGTTCTCCGGTCCCGGTTTTCTTCCAGCTCCTTTGCCGTGGTCCAACGTCAACTGCTCCTGGAACCGCTTCAACACTCTGGAGACGGTTGAATGGTGAATGTTCAACATTTTTCCCAACTGCCGGTGCGACAGGTCAGGAAATTCCAGGTGTTTGGAAAGAATTTGTTCTCTCAACTCGCGTTGGTTCACCTCCATTTTCGTTGAATCGAAAAACACGACTTCGAGTTTGACAGCATGTACACAATACACATCAATGAGAAAGTGTGCAAAATTTGGTTGATTTTTACCCAATGGTAAAAAATGTATGCCCTGTTGAATGTGTCGCAATAATTTCGTGTTCGCCCTTTATTTCCTGGAGGACTCGAGTTTGTGTCGTCCATTTGCCTGAAAACTCGATATAGTGTAGGAAATGTGGCTTTGTCTGTTTTTCGCAGTAATCGAAGTATGAATTTGAAACATCAAAAATCTTTCATATGCTAATTAGATGCGTTAAAGTGATCTGAAACCCGTAAATTCAGTGCTAGTGTTGTTACGGTAGTGAGGGAGAAAGTAATAAACGAAACGTAAAAGATTAGATTGTGCGTGAGATGCGTTGTCTAACTGTCCGTTGTCGCAGCACTTTTCCTTCGGGTTATCCGTTTGGCAAATTTGTTGGTCAACCGTCAAACCGGCTAGCAGAGACCGCACCGTCAACATCACGGCCAAAAGAAACCATTCGTCGAAGTAGTCGAAGTAGAAGGTGAAGCAAGTAATTCCAGCGTTCCCGGGATAGTCTTCGCCCTGCTAGGTGGTTTAGTACAGCACTAGCAGGTGGTTTAGTACACAGTAGTGAGTAGCAAACTCGACATCACCACTTCACCACTGAACCACCTCATCACCTCCACCTAGCTTGCGAATCGCCGAAGTTCACCACGTTGAGTCACTGTAAGCAAAAACCAGGCCTTTTTCTTCTTGTTGTTCGCATTTCAAGCTTATTGCTTAGCGCATATTAGCTTATTGCGTGCTCTCAACTTAGTGTTCTAAATGCACTTCCACAGTTATTAATTGAGAGCTTTCGATGCCAATACCAATGCATGAATTTGTATATTGTGTGGCAAGCACAATGATACTCTATGCCCAGGGAAGTCGAGAAAATTTCCAACCCGAAAGATTCCCTCGACCGGACCGGGAATCGAACCCGCCGCCAAAAAACCAGGCCTGTAAGTACCAAATAGCTCTTTTCCCTGTGTCCTTGTGCACATGTGACCGGCGACCGATAATTCAAGAACAACGATCGAAGACATGTGAAAAGAGCATGCAACCTTTTTGTAAACTAATTTTTGTAGGCCCTTTTCTCGCCAACCGAATGTCACCCACGCAAACCAACAACATCATCGGAAGGGTAAAATTTCCCCTACCCGTTGATGTCGATGTGTTGCGTAGATGTCATATGAGAAAAGGGCCTAAGAATGTTTGTAACGCTCTCCGTGTTACGCTAAGCTGACGGCTTAAGCGCCACCTTCCAAAGAAGGACCGTTAACTCGTTCTTAATTACCCGGCAAGAAACTTCCCTTCTCAGGGCAGGTCACTCAGATGTTGACACAAACGAACTGACTTATTTTGACCCAAACGTCTAAAGCCAACCAATCAGATTGGGATACTCAAATTTAAAAATACCAATTCAAACCGCGAAAATGAAATAATTCTTCAAAATCAACCAAGGGGAAATATGCAGTAGTTATTTAAACTCAAACCAATCTAACAAATATAAACATATACAAATAACGTGATACAAAAGATGTGTAGAGTAACTAATCTAAACTATAAGTAATTTTTATTTTATTCAATTCAATTGCACGAAACCCGGATATCCTAAACTTAAATTTATCGAGCTAGTGATTTATTAAATAAATTTCAAGGGAAATAGAAATTCATTGAATTAAGGCAAACCTCACAGGTTTCCTACTGTGACGCCACGTTTCTAATTCACATGTGTTCTAGCATAGCCGGAGTAGCTTGGGTTGAGCCTAAAAACTAACGTACAAGCACAGGCTGCATCCCCAACACAGTCATCAATGTATCGTTTATAGATGAAAATTTTTGATTTAGCATTGCTGCTTCTCCAACACTGTCATCAGAGAGTCGTTACTAGATGAAACAAGTCGAAGTGGCATTCGCCTCCGATCTGCGGGCGTATGCGAATAGAGAGGATGCAATTGCATAACATTTTGCACACTCATCGCCATATTCAGAACCACACGTCCCCAACGACCACACAAAACGCTCTCCAGAGTTGTAATCTTGTAACCAAACTTGGAAGCAGGGATGCAAGTGATTCTGATCGATTCTCTTCATCGACTTTTTGTTTCGTTAATCACTCGACGGCAAACACATTCATTGATACGTTTGTTGTTCTGGATGATAGAAGAGCATAGCAGAAATAGTGCGAAATAGGTTAGTGAAGTCATGGTCATCAAAAGAAAAAATCGGTGAAGAGAATTGACTTTCACCCCTCTGCTTCTAAGCCCCTTAATTCAGTTGTCGTCATAGAAATGAAAACTAGCATCGCATGATATATTAAATGATTTTTTTCTTCTCAACAGATGGTTGTAATGATGTTATAAATAAGGGTCTCATCTTAAAAGTATGGAAAAAACTATGTCGGTATTATTTTTAATTTACGTTATCTTTGCTCACGGGGTGTCTACTCTTTTGGTGTTTTCAGATCATTTTTGCCCATCAAATTGGGTTTTGAACTGATTTTGACGCAATTTTGTTGTTTTTATCCATTTTAAGATGTTTGGCCCTCCGTCATGCGACTATCAGAATGGGTCTTTGGGTCCATTAGATCATCCTCCGTAACGTCTGGACCCTATGGATTTGTTTTAAAAATTGAAATTGCTTTATAAGAATGATCCCGGGGTGTTGAGCATGATTAGGGCACTGCGGAACACGTTATGGTCTTTCAGATGATT